AGCACTGCAGAAATCTACCCAGGCTGATGTCCAAGCATCTTTCTTGACTTCTGAGAGTTTGTTTGTTTGTATGTTTGTTTTACCTACTCTCTTAATCAGAACTTGGCCTATGCTGTTTCACATGCTTTTTAAAATGTTCCAGAAAGAAAGTAGTGGCAGAAGGTCTGAAGGTATATGATCCAATAATGGTATGAAGTGTTTGGGAGTTTGGGGGGGTAGAAAGGGTACAACTGAATTGGAGTGGGGAGGAATAGCTAGAAATGCATCCTGAAAGAAAGGAAGCTGGGAAAATGAACAAGCCTTTGAAAGACAGACATAGAAAGGCATGGATTTCAAGAAGGGAATGCAAGGTGACTGAAGGACCAGAGGAGGGTGGAGGTGGGTTGTGTTGATGGTGGTGCTGGTAGTGGTTTTAGAAGGACAGTTGCTTGGTATGTGGCCTCAGCAGAGGGAGGAGGAGAAATCTGCAGCCCTGCACAGGGATGAAGGCCAAGTGCAGATGGCTTTGAATGCCATGGTCAACTGTTTGATGGGCAGAGGGGACTCAGATGGTTGCAAGCACGAGCAGTCTGGGCTTGAGGCTCCACTGGTAAGTCTCATTGTTGTTTTTCATGATCTTTCTCATGCTTCGTTCCATTTTTCCTTAAATAAAAACAGTGCAGTATCCTAAAGGCACTACTGTTTGCTGCTGAGTTGCCTCCCATTATCCTAACCATATTGGAGGTAAAGTGAAAAGATTACTACATTGTCCTGTTCACATCTCGAGGATTAGGAGGAAGGGGATGGCGTGAGACAATATAACATCTTGGGGTCACTCTATCTGTCCATTTGTTTGGCAAAAGAATCTGCTTTTTCCAAACTGTGTCAAAAGTTGTTGGTTTTTAAGAGATTTATTTATTTATGCATACAGAACTGGGGTACAGGCCAGAGTGCAGGGGTGATGAGAGTATTCACTAGAGACAGTGGGGAGCAGAACAGGCAGGCAGACGAAGTGTACTGCTGAGGGGAGCAGCAGGTGGGTCAGGTGAGGTCTGCTGTGCCATGTGGGTCAGCTTCAGGGCCAGTGATCGAACTCTCACTGAAGCGGCTGCAGCTAGCTTGCAGTGCTGTGTCCTAACCCGTTGCACCATCAGGGAGGGCCCAGTGTCAAAAGTTTCAATAAGATCAATGGTCCTTAATCATTAATTATAGCTCTATTGCTACCATATTTTTAAATATACTTTGTTATTTTTTTCATTTGAGCCAAAAGATAAAATCCAACATTTCTACACTACCTTTAACTCAACAAATCATCTTTTCATCATATCAAATCCCTTTTCTGTCCTGATAATGAGCATGTAGATAAGTGAAAGTTCGCTGGGTATTTCTATCAGGAGGAAATTAGCCCACAGACAGGGCCACTGACCAGTCCATATTGACACAGTTAGCAAGAAATGGACTCAAAATTAAAGCAAGAACTTGAAGTCTAGGTTCTTTCAAAACATCCTTAGTCCATCAAATTTTGCCACCTGCTTCTATTTAATGCAAGCCATTATCTGTCATTGGACAGTGCTGGTGGTGCTGATGGTGGTATTAGAAGGACAGTTGCTGGGTGTCTGAGTGCCTAAAAATGTAAGGGCATTTTCAACTGTCATTAGAATTTTCCCTTGACTAACTATTTGAGGCCCATAACAGGGCACCAGGATGGAAGACCACAAGAGGTTCAGCTGACATAGAGCAGGCCCTCTGCACCGTGCAGAAACTGGTCAACAGAGTTCAAGGACTTCCCACTGCAGCTGACTTGGCTGTGATTAATATTGTACTTTGTTGATTTTTGGCCTACCCTGTCACCCCCATCTTCTACTCTCTTCACTCCCAGGCCAGAGAGCAGGGAGAATCTGACACTGGAACTCTTCCTTCTCTGGCTCCCTCCTGTCTACGTCAAAGTGGTGAAGGCTTTGGCGCCCCAAGGGCTGGACTTAAGACCACCCTTGGGCAGCTGGGATGATTTCTTTCTAATGGTTTCATGACCTGGGCAGTCAGAAGAAGGATATTTTTGCTTAGCAAGACCTCAGGATTTCATTGGGGAGCTTGGTTTTGGAAAGTTTTTAATGCCCTGGTGAGTTCATAAGAAATGAAAAGAGCTAAGTCATTTTCAAAGAAGTGACTTTTTAGGTTGACATATCAGCTAGTGGGAGCAATAATAGCATAGCTCACACACTTCGTGGCATACTTGTCTAAATGAAGCAGCGAAACCAATCAATCCCCTATTGTTTTGCTTTGCCTAAAGGTTCTCTGATTCCCATACAGAAATGTTGAGAAGCATTTGCAGTTTCTTTAGAACCTTCACGTTAGCCACTTGCCATGGAGGGAAGCTGCAGGAACAGCACAGCTGAGGCTCTGCCTTTCACTGGGGAACGTCCAAGGTGAGCATTGACTGACTGCATTTTAGGGGATATTCCCATGTCTTGCAATATTCTCATCGGAAACTCTTGCCAGTTATCACTCAAAGAAGTTTTGTTGAATGAATGTGAATGAATGGATGGAAGCAGTGTTTTCACTGCCAGGGTGTTAATGCAAATTTTCCCTTTACCTGGAAGGGCCTTTACCTAAACACTCATTCTTACACTTAGTCAGAAAATAAGAAACTTCTAGACGCCAAGCATTGTAGTATGGATACGATGAATATGAATAAGCCAGACTTCACCTGTTCAAGGAATTTATAATCTAGTATGGGAAACAAATCAATGACAAGTTGAAACAGAAGCTGCTAAACAGGAACACACATCATTATAGGAGTTTAAAGAAGGGGAGAAAGGCCCAGAATTGGCAATTCAAGGCCAGGGCCCAACAGTAAACAAACAGGACATAACTGGAATTCAATTTGCAAGCTACTGAACTAAATGATGTTTAATTAGAACTACCATTTTCTGAATAGCCATTATATTTAGGGTCTTTTACCTATTATTTCCAATATCAGATTTTATGGTGCTCATTTTCCAAATGAGGAAACTGAGACTCAAAAACTCGCTTGAGACCACACAACAATTATCACGCCTGTGGGAAGGTTATACCTGCCACTAAAATTAATGACTATAATGTCAATACAAAATTGGTTATTGATTAATGCATACACTCTTTACAACTAACTACTTCTCTGATATTTCTCTATACTATACTTAAGCCCAACCAATTCATTCACCAACTCAAGAAACACTCACGTGAGGTGTCCTGCACAGCTTCCGTTCTCATTGTAACACTTGCTGTCATCTGACACACAAGGTACTTTATTTTATCACTTCTGAGATGCTGCATTATTCAAGTTTTTATATCTCTCATTGAAAAAAAATCAATGACAAGGCAAAACTTGTTATGCCTTTTTTCTTTGTTTATGTATAAAGGTAACACTGCATCTTCAAATCGATGGCACCTGAAATTCCTTCATATTTATATTTAGAATCATATTTATGTTATATTGCTTATTTTATATTCCTCCACCAGAATATAAGCTCTAAGAGGGCAGACCTTGTATCTGCCTTTTCTAACTCTGTGCCCCCATCCATTGGAATGTTGCTGACTAAATCAATGACAGATTAGATGCTGAGTTTCTACTATGTGTCAGTAGATGTGTGATGTGCTCAAAATAGAATGAGGAATAAAACAGACATGCAGTCCTGGAACAAATGCAAATTAAACAGATAGATAAGCACATAAATGAATGTGCAATATTATGTGGTGAGTTGGGGGAAATGAACTAGTTCAAGATGTTGTGGTGAGAATAGATGTGTGGTGTTCCTGGGAAATCAGGGAGGACCCACAAATCCAACATTAGAAGGTGTCTGCTGGGTGAAGGCAATAAATACAGGAATCCAGGCTATAGAACTGCTGGTACTTGTGATAGTTGATCTCGGCCATTTAAATATCTGTATCTGCATGCATTTTTACTTGTGTTTTTGCAGAGATCCTTTTTTTCCCACCCAGATTATCAACTTATCTTTCTGCTAGAATAAGTAGAACACTGGGTTTGGAGACTGTATGCCTGGGCAGTAATTCTGGCTTTGTCCCTATTTTACAATTTAGGGAAATGATGTAAGTGCTCCAGTCCTCAGTACCTTTACTAGTAAAATTAGGAGGTACATTAGTGAATCTCAAAGGTGTCATTGAGCTTTCCCACTTATGTTCTGTAATTATCAACCCACTTTAACATGAAATGATGGGGGGAATCTTCTATGTATTAACCTGAAGTTTTCCATTGGTCACTGGAGGCGTTAAGATGAAAGAAAAGATAAAAATGCAATTCATTAATGTAAAGTGCTTATGAGCTTCAGGAGGAGACTGATACAATGATGAATCCAGTTGAACAAAGCATGGAATTTTCTGGCCCTCTCTGGTGGCGCAACAGGTTAGGATACAGCACTGCAAGCTAGCTACAGCCGCTTGAGTACAAGTTCGGTTTCGATTCCCACCCTCGAGGTGACCGACAGGGCGCAGCAGACCTCTCCTGACCTGCTCGCTGCTCCCCTCAGCAGTGTACTTCGTTGATCTTCCTGTTCTGTTCCCCACTCTGTCTCTGGTGAATCCTCTTACCACCCCTACACCTTTGGCCAGTACCCCAGTTCTATATGCAACAATAAATAAATCTTAAAAAAAAAAAAAAAAAAAAAACACCTGGCCCTCCCTGGTGGCGCAGCAGGTTAAAGCACAGCAGTGAGAATCCAAAGCCGCTTCCGCATGAGTTCGATTCCCGCCTGCCCCAGAGGTGACCACATGGCGTGGCAGACCTCTTCTGACCCGCCCGCTGCTCCCCTCAGCAGTGTACTTCGTCGATCTGCCTGTTCTGTACCCCACTCTGTCTCTGGTGAAGCCTCTCGCCGCCCCTGAGCCTCTGGCCTGTACCCCAGTTCTGTATGCACAAATAAATCTTTAAAAAAAAAAAACCTATGTTTCTTTAATTAAAAAAAAAAAAAGCATGGGATTTTTCTGTTTCTGAAATTTTAACTAAGCATCATTGTCTTTTCCAGATGTCAGCAGATGCCCTGGTTAGTGAAGGCATGTAACCCAGCCTATCGCCAACAGATGGCCAGAGCTATACTGGATTTGAAAGCTATTGGATGAGAGGAAACTTTGATAACCTAAATTTCTACAAAAGTGAGCATTTCTATGCCAGGATAACATGGGAATTGAGAAAAGGGTTAGTTTATTACACTTGAGTGGAGATGGGAGTTGGGAGGCTATGGGATGGGAAAAGATGCTAACAAGGGAAGTTTTGCGGGACATGGATGACTCAGTTGAATTTTTTTATCCCACCCTTCAGGTGTGTATTTCCACACCCCACCCACCACCAAGGTACCCAGAGCCCTCAGTCCCTGGGCTCTCACCCCGCGATGCTTTACACCCTACTCCCCTAAAGGAGCTTCCGTTTTACGGTTAGATTTCTAGGGTGTGTTGGCTTTATCTGACCTTTTGTTTTGTTTCTCTATATTTCCCGTATGAGTGAAACCATCCGGTATTTGTCTTTACCCCTGTAATGGATTTCATGCTTAGTCCCCAACAGCCCTTTGCTTCCTGAATTGTAGGCGTTTAAATGATATTTATTTATTGTTGAATCATAGTCATGGGGATGGAAAAATCAATGTCAAGTGAGGCAAGTGATTAGTAAAATCAGTTATTTTTTTTTTTTCAGGAATGGCCGAATGACAAATTACAAAACATTTAATTTTGTCACTTGGATGGGGGTGACTGTTGATATTTTACTAGGTGGTTAAACTAAAATACTAATTCAACCTTAGGCGATGCTAGTGGTGGTATTCTTTATTTTTTTTAAACCATGTCTAACTTGGCAACACTTACATAATCTAAAATCAAATCAGGGAAAAATCTGAGTTAAATGGAAAAAGACCAGATCCTAAGAAATGAAAATTTACTGAAAACACCATGTGTTGGTTCCAATGAAAATAATGGGTGTGAGATGCACCCAGGGTGTTGGAAAACACGTTGAAGGTACAAACTTCACCAAGGATGCATCAAAGACTTTGAGTCCTTTGGTTAAGGACTCTGTGTCCCTTCCTACACTTCTGCACTCTGGATCACACATGCAAACTCACAGCAAGGAATCCGAAGAGGGTCCCAAATGAATTCATTTTAAAAATCAACTAGATATCTAAGCAGACATCAACATTTTACAAAACATCCTTTGCCTTCTCTCAAGTGCAAACAAACCTGAAAGCCAAAAAGTTGTCTTCTGACTAGAACAAAAAGAATATTCCATAGAAACTTGAGGGAAGACATGAGTCATGGTGTCTGAGGAGTGTGAATTATTTTAAATAACTCAGATGATGTAATGCAGAGACTTCAAAGTCAGTATGAACATGTGCACTGACCCTTCAAAATGACTTCTCCCCTTGTCTTTTTAAGCCTGTGAAGACCTTTGGCGGAACCGTGAGCGCTTGCCTGGAGCATGAAGAGCATTAGAGATGAATGAAAGGTACGGGATTATTTCCTACTGTTCATTCTTGGATGACATGGCCCCATTTTAAAATCACTGGGGCTATTAAACTCCAACCACAATGTATTTTCGGTGTTTTCTTTCTTCATCTGCAGTTTTATTTTTCACTCCACTATGCCCTACCTTTGGTCTCAGGAATGCAAAGGCATGTCATAACACGCAAACTAGGCCATGTGGGACCTTAGGAGGCTGATTTAGCTTTAAGTGTTTCCAATTTCATAGGCTCGGTATGCTGTGTCAAGGCAGGCACATTTTTGCTATATTTTTTTCTTTCTGTCTGGACTAGATTCACAATCTCTTGGGAATCGTTAAATGCTTTTGGCGATCAGCATTCTAACACCACTGTGAGATCCTAGTTCTGTCAAGTTCATTAAGGTAATGCTGGTATTTCTGCACTGCTTTCAGAATTTGTAAATCTGGTGCAGTGGTTCTTCATGTGTCCCTGGAAGAGTTACATAAGGAGATTTTGCCTCCATGCGGGTATCTGCCCGCTGTCATACACCAAAAGCAAATCTCTAGGGTGGGGTTGGCAAACATGTTGGGTTATTCTAATGCACAGATCTAATGCAAACCTTTGTCTATGGAAATCATAAATTTACCCTAAGAAAGGAAAAAAAATAGAAAGAAAGAAAAAATATGGAAAGAGAAACAAAAGTGATAGTTTTTGCTTGTATCTGCTCTGATACCTAATCAGTGTGGCAATACTAGGAACTGTCATGGTAAAATCATATGGGAACAACCTCTGGATTGAAATGTATGCTCTGCTGTGCAACTCACACTGAATTAAGTAGCTGCTCTGTTCCTCAGTTTACTCAACTGCTTAATGACTGAAATACAGTTCCCACAATCATTATTATGATTAAATTATGTATTACATATGATTAAAAACTTATAAAGTATTTTCTGATAGACTAGTTTAAAGTAATTGCTTGAACAATGTGAGCTGCTATTATCTCAGGCTTCTCAGAGTCTCAGATGGAAAGTAAATGGTGTGTTTGATATAAAGAAAATACCAATGACTATGAATATTTTAGTATTTATTTATTAGGTAGAACATTTGTAAACTTGGGTTCTATATGATATTTTTATTTAGGGTGTGTGTTCTAATTCAGTAAATTGTATTAGCATTGAGAATGCCACAGTCCCATTCACTGGCATTAGTAAGACCCTAAGGTATCTTACAACAACACCTAGAAATTACTGGCTTGGATAATTAAAGATGGTTTTATTTCCTACAGGCCAGGAATATTTGGGGCTGAATTATCCAATAAGAATATTAGCAATACATTTACAACACTAACTAGAAGGTATGAGAAGAAAATGCCAATTCTTACAATGAAATGATCCTACATAGGTATTTCAAATTTTCAAATAATCATCATCCATAAAATTAGGCATTTACTGTAGCTACTTATATTTGTGAATTAAAGAGGGAGAGAGAGAGAGAGAGAGAGAGAGTATGTGTGTGTGTGTGTTTAATCACATGGGCATGCCATGTGATTTTACTGGCACTTTTTTTTTAGTGACGGAGTCCCCACCTATTGTTCTTAGCTTGTCCTTAGTCCGACTTCTGGGCATGTGTGAATTCCATGTGAATGATAATTAAATAGTGTCCTCTTGCTGTGATACCATTTTGAGGATAGAGATTTTAGAAACACTGTAACAAAAATCTTTGTTCTTATCCTATGATGAAATAGCATAGGTACTGATAGCCATGTTGTTCATCCAATAGTCAGGAGTAACCTGATACAAAATCCTAATTCAGTAATTCTGCTTTACCACAGAACAATTTACCTTGTAATAGACTGCAAGATCCATAGACCATAGGACCAAATCTCAACATAATACCTAGTATTGGCATCAGCAGAGAGAACATTCCAGAATTTTAGCTCTGAAAGGATTCTTTTTTTTTTTTTTAAAAGATTTATTTATTTGTGCATACAGAACTGGGGTACAGGCCAGAGGCTCAGAGGCGGTGAGAGTCTTCACCAGAGACAGAGCGGGGAGCAGAACAGGCAGATGGACAAAGTACACTGCTGAGGGGAGCAGCAGGCGGGTCAGGAGAGCTCTGCCACGCCATGTGGTCTCCTCTGGGGCAGGCGGGAATCGAACTCATGCGGAAGTGGCTTTAGCTTCTCAGTGCAGTGCTTTAACCCGCTGCACCACCAGGGAGGGCCACTCTGAAAGGATTCTTATAGTAGCTTGGATCATACTCTCTCAATGAAGTCCATACCCTACACCCATATCTGTGAATATGTTACTCTTACATGGTAAAAGGGACTTGGAAGGCTTGATAAAGTTAGTGATCTGGATGGCAGATTCCTGGATTATCTGGTAAACTTAATCTAATCACAAGAATCTTTGTAAAAGGGAGACAAGAGGACAAAATCGATAGAAGGAATTTTGCCAACATAACAGAGTTGAAAGTGATGGGGCCAGGAGCCTAGGCATGCCAGTAGTGTCTAGAAGCTGGTAGAAGCAAGAAACTGACTGTCCCCTGGAGTTCCCAAAATGAACCAGCTCTGATGAAGTGTAAACTGTAGCCTCACTAGAAACGTTTAAAACTTCTGACCTCTAGATCTAGATGCTAACAAATATGTGGGTTTCTTAAATCAATTAATTGTTTTTACTTTTACAACATGACCATCCTTTGTGCTGCTTTCTGCTTCAACCTCCCCTCCCTTCTAGGCCTCAGTGTGTTTGTCAATGTCCAGTAGTTTCTGAAGGTGTTTTATGTTGTTGGATTCTCCATTATGCAAATGCCCAATATTTGTGACTATTATTCTGAAATGTTTTGCTGCATATAACTTTTTCAAATTCTCTTTTCTGTTGAAAACTTCTTTTCTTTAAGCCATCAATTTGTGGTCATATATTTTAGCAACAGTAGGCAATGAAAACAGACCCATATATCATCAAATTCAATCATATCTTTTATGGAATGATAGAAGATTGAGACCACTTGATCATTCATTTATTCACTCATTTAACAAATTATGGAGCTTTATAGTAACTGCCAGACAGTAATAGCAGAATACACATGACCCACACTATGCCTTTTTGAAGCTTTTCACCAGAATCTGAGAAATCGGAACGAGAGATTTCCCTTCCTCAGATGCCATGAGTTTTGCTGTTTTTGTTCCTTTCTGAGGCTTGATAATTTGCTTTTATTTTGATATTCTTGAGCTCTCCAAGGTCTTGTGATAAATTCCTTCACTTATGCAAGTTGGCTAGAGTATGTTTTTGTGGCTGTTATACCCACCCTAGTAAATTACCTAAATAGTTAGTTGATAGTGTCCTATGCTCACTTCAAAAATTTGTGATGATGTGTTAGACCAACAGTTTATTTTTAGCGTAATATTTTATTCCACATAAATAGTCTGCAGGTCTTTAACCAACTGATGTTTTCTTTCCCAATAAGCGAAGGTCACCTCCTAATCTCAGTATTTGGGAAATATTTTTTTCTATCTACATGGAAAGAAAAATGTGGGCCACAGACTGAGTTTGCAACACTCTGATGTCTGAACTGCTAAAATGTGTTAAGGAAAGAATAGTTTTGTTATAAATGTGAATTTCATAATAATTTCTATGAATATTATGTACCACAGCAAATAAGAAAATTGCCTTTGCTGGGTACTTTGAAAAAATAGCCTTGGAATGGATGATGGCATCTGCAGAGTGCCTTAAATGAGTGGCTATCATGCTACTCAATAGCAGGTTCTTCCAATAAAGACTAAAGAGAAATCAGAAAGCAGAGATACTGCCAGTCTGGCCACAAGTGTGGGTGGTTTGCCTTAATGATTCTAGGTACAGACCCTGGCAAATTTCATCCTATACACCTTTGAGATTTCACTGTGTCCTAATGCACTTACTGCAGTCTGTTGATACCATTGATTTTCTTCATTAACTCAGTCACTCTAAACCTTAAGGTCCATATCTAAAAAAAAAAATAATAATAATAATAGTAATGTCAATGTTACAGCTGAATGTTGAGGTTTAAATGAACCAAAACATGACTGACAGTCATGAAGTATTCACAAATATTCTGCTTTTCTTTATCTCCTAAGTAAAATTGGCTTTCCTGTTTCATTTGTAGAGAGAGCGCAGAACTGGCACATGTTACTTCTGAGAAGAGGCAGTTAAGGGCCAGTGTTCATTTTACTATCTTATATCTGCTTCAGCAGCACCCATCTGGCCTCATCATCTAGAGGGGTCTTCAGGTTAGGGTGCCATGATGCTCAGCCTTTGTATACCTCAAGTTAGTCTTTATTATTTTAAGCCACTGATATATTTTGGGTCTAGAGCTCCATATTCTTTTGGGTTGTCAGAAAAGTTATAATGCATATTTTCTCGAAAAACAGAAAAAAACGACATGATTTCTGACAACCAAATCGCTACCTCATTAGTCAGCTTGCCTGGAATGACAGGTAAAGTACTTAACATGTGGTAACCTGTTGCATTGAATGAGATTTGAGACCACAGAACTCATTCACTTACTCGTTTCACATAGTTTACTGGTCACTGCTGCAGGGGCAGAATGCCCTGACTTCATGGCATTCACAATAAGCGCCAACCCCCACCACTCTACACAGAGGACAATCAACCAGAGGAGCTTCATGTCCCTGCAGGACAGAAAGGGCTATGATCCTGGGATGTCCAGAACTCTTTGTGCAGGTCAAAGGGGCAAGTAATGACAATCCCTGGCCACCAACCAACAATCTAATGAGTACATTAAATGTCCCCTGCTCAGTGTTGGTTCTGGGCATGCAACAGGTATTATTCCTGCCTATCTGTATATCCATTTTTAACCAGAAGATATTGGCCCTATATGTTCCTTTACCCAACAAAATGCCCTTCCTTTTAAGGAACCCATACCTAGTTCAGCCATGTGAACCCACTTTCTACCTGTTCTCTGTTGTCCCACTATACTGAAATAAAGCCACATAGTCACCATCCAAATCTGCCGTTTTTCTCTTCTGGAT